TTTAGTCTTATCTAGGGTTGTATACAAATCACATAATTTATGCTCTATTCACGATTCGAATTTGTATACCACTATTCAAATTAGAAAAATTCAAAATCAAGTAAGAATATTAAATTTGATTCGAATTGTTATCAAATACTCCCTCCGTTCCCAAAAATACTTCCCACTTTCCTTTTTGGGTTGTTCCCAAAAATACTTCCCACTTTCCCCTTTTGGACAATTTGTGTGGCTCACATTCATTTTAACTTTTTCTTACACAACCACAACCATACATTTCCACTTTATTCCACTTTCTTAATAAGCGTGCCAAGTCAAACCGGGAAGAATTTTTAGGAACGGAGGGAGTACGAATTAAAATATCAGTATATTCGATTCAAATGTTAATCAACTATATTTAATTAATAATAGTAATAACAATATATAACTTTTAAACGTTAGTAATACTTGACACCATTTGATTAAAGCTGGACTTGAAATGGTACGGTGCTATCTCGTTATCAAGTACTCCCTCGGTAACGCTCCTCTTCTTCTCTCAGAGAAACCCTAGTGGCCGTCTCCCCTCTTTGTAGGGGTTGAGATTTTCCACCGCCCCTATCAATATGGGGTTGAAGCGGCAGATTATACTGATTCTAAGTGTTCGATCTAACGCTTGGGATTGCAACTACGTCGAAGGAGATAGCGTTGACGGATGAACGAAGTGCGACTGAGAGGTTGTATCGAGACTGGATCGTGAAGCCTTGGTCAGCCATTCCGACAGTGGTGGAGTTGGTATTCATCCATATTGGAAGAGTTCGTCCTCCTCTGGAACCACCTCCATACCAGGGAATGCTTCGTGGAAAGATTTTATTTCAGTATTATTTTCTCTTTACTTGCAATTGTTTTCGTTTCAGTCCGAGTAGATTTGGTTTGAATGTTTGGATTTTTGGAGTTATTTTGATAGACAGATTTTCGATTCCATTCATTTTAGGCCTAAATTTGTCTGTTTCTGGTTTAACGAGTCGTTACTTTGCATGAGGTGGCTGACCCTAAGTCTACTCATAGGATTCATGATTGGATCTGTAATTTCTGTCTGAAGATTATCTTATATGTGTTCTTGATTTTAATATAACAGTCGATCTTTTATGGTATAAAAAAAATTAGTAATACTTTCAAAGCGTAACCATATATACATTTAGCTATATACGTAGTACAAATTTCAAGTCCATTTTTCATCTATCTATATACAAAAGGAGGTGGATTTCAGCCAAATTTCCTGCCTAAACTACCAGGTCAGCTGTGGGTCGAGTCTGGGTCGGGTCAACACTAACTGGTCTGCCAACTCCACTGATGTAAAAGTGTAAAAGTACAGCTCAATAAATGCTTACCCATATGAAACCCAGCGGATAAGAAGGCAATAAATGAGAATCTTCATTGAAGATTTTCTCTTAAAATCTACGATTCCCGTGATTCGAAGTATATGTAAAAAGTACATATCATTTAATCAAGACTTTAAAATTGTAGAGTACATGCAGTAAACTTTGTCAGACTTCTTTATGCATTGTCAATTCAGCATTTAATTGATAGCTTGCTCTCTCATTGCCCATGTCCCTCCAAAGAATGGTGTATTAAACACAATATTTTTTTTATGAATATAACCACCGATCAGGTCAAAAGAATCCCCACCAAACAAACTAATATTCCTTCTCATTTTCCCCTCTCAAAGGACAAGCATCGTGGAAGTTGGTGAGAACTTGGTGTCGATGTCATATTCCTTCTTATGCACGCCGTAATCCAAAATCATCATCCAGATGTTTATGTCTTGCAACCATCGATTTCATCTGGAACCGCCAAGCAGTCCATACCGCAGGACCTCACATTGAATGGCGGCACTTCTGGAATTGAGGCTGTGATTTGGTGAGGAAGAGGCAGAGCATTGGGCAATTCGACGGCTAGGTTATATATCATCTATTGCAGCGGCGTAAATGGAGGGCCATAGACCCCTAGCCGACCTCTAACCCAACAACGCGGCGGTGAGCATGCTGGCCGATTGAGAGAGCTCGCGACCTGGTGTCTCACCAACCTGTTTTCCAAACTTGGAGATGGGGACGGTGAACTTAGGCTTTCTGTTTCAACTATGGTGCCCAGCAGAGAGACAACGCCAAAATCCAAGGGCCTAGGGGAAATCAGCAAAGTCGAAGGAATGGAAACAGTTCCGCGGCGGGGGAGGTCGCCGGTAGCAATATGTTGACCGGATATTTCAGTCAAGTCCGCTACTCATGACAAATTTTCAGTTTCTGGGTTCAAATTTTTATTGAAAGTAAATACTTCCATTTGATATTATTGACTTATCTTGAGAACTTTATGGATTATTGGCTTATCTTGAGATTCACAGTTTCTATGAATTTTGATCTGTGCTTCATGAAGCACTGCATGCTCCCAGAGTGGAGTAGTGATTGGAAAATTCTGGTCCAAGATGTTTTGCAAATTCCTGGTAAGATTTGTCCTCTTACATTTCCATGGATTTGGATATGGAGTAATTCCAGACTGCTTTTAAATATCAGGCATATTATATCATCAATCTATGTATATAATCCATACATCAACAAGCTGTTATTTTGCTTTTGAACAATTCCTGGGCTATTTCTTATCACACACGGGTTGTGTGTGTAAATATGTGCACATAATTTTTTTAATTATTTTTTATGTTAATTAAAAATGTCTACATAATTTTATCGTGTTACTTATAAGATAACCTCTCATGCTTTAAATTCTTCGCTTATGAATGTTGCGGTATGTATTTAATGTCTTCCCTTATGAATAATGTTACAGTATGTAAACTGCATTGCAAGGACCATGGTTGGGTTTAGCTGCCCTGCGAAGAGGGAGAGAAAGGTCCAATATGAGACTGAATTGTTTTAAATGTTGGAATGGTTTAGGGTGTTTCCGTTTCCCTTGACTGAGAAAGAGAGGCGACATCGACACCGACACACCCTTAATGCTTTAGAGACGCATTTGTACGCACGAATATCTAATTTAGTGCGGTAAAGGTTTAATTCATGATAAATACTTAAATCTTTTTTTTTTCACCCGTAGTAGATAACTTATGTAAATTAAGTTTCACAAACTATGAAAATGAGTTATATTCAGAGTTTCAAATTTTTCTTAAATATAATTACCAGTAAGAAAATCATTTTTTCTTGAGCAAGCTTTCAATAAAATCGTGTATTTCTCGAACAATCTCAAAAAAATCATATGTTTGAATGTGAAAAAGCTAATCTACAGTTTCAACTTCATCTATAGTACTCCATATATTAGTATGTCAAGGATGATCATATTTTAAGCTCTATGTCGATTGTAAAGGCCCATGATTTACTGACTAAAACGAATCCCGACTATATAGGGTTGATTATTGTACTTTTAATTGTTTTGTCTAAAACATTGATTTTTGAACGATTTGTGATTTGTTTATGTGTGATTTATATTTTTGATGCTTTGTTTAATCATGACACATTGGGACATCATTTTTCATGGACATCATTTCAGATTCATATATACCAAATTCTTTTAAATTTGGTGTAAATTGAAAGTGAATTGCCCATCTTCAATAACATAGTGACATCTGACAGATAAATAAAGAACATATCACACAAAGCACCTACATTAAATTCGGACAGTCATCTATTTGTAAAATAAACCAATGATGAAGAAAACATGATTCATAATAAAATGCAATCCATTTAAAATTAAAGTTTATTTTTGAATACAATAGTGTTAAAAACCGAATTATAAAATTCAAGTAAGCTCTCAGTCAAATAAATTTGACTACCTGAATTTATACTACTGGATTTTAAAAATGCCATATTGCCATCTTAAAAAAATGCCACAATGTGGCAGACATTATTTTACAAGTTAATAAAAATACATGTGCCCTGCAACTCAAATCCTTAAAATCCATGGTTGAAGCCTACGATTTTCATATCCAAAATTCACAATCCAAAATTTTCAAATAAAAAATTACATTTTTATTTAGATTCTAAAGAATACACAAAGAAGTTAACAAAAAATTTAACAAATGCAAGATGCATAGAAAACAAAAGAGAGGGAGGCGGAAGGAGAATGAGAAGAAAAGAGGAGAAGAGAAGGGAAAAAGAGGAGAAGCCGCGGGGATGGTGGACACAATAAATAAAGAGAGCTGGAGTCGGTCTGGAAGATTGATGCAAGTACATTGTAATACTCCGAATTTTTATCATGGGGATTGGGGTACTTGGGGTTAAACAGGATATAACTGCTTCCTTGACATTTCAAACTCATGAATCATGACTACCCATATAGAAGAGCAATTCATATGGGTAAATATGTGAACTGGACCGCTTTATCATAATACTCCCTCCGTCCCTTATAGCTTTGCCAACTTTTCTTTTTTTGGTTGTCTAAAAAATTTTGCCATTTTCTCTTTTAATCAATCAATTTGTGGCTCCTGTTATTTCTCTCTCCTATGCACAAATTTCTACCACATAGTTTTTACTTTATTATTCTACGTGCCGGTCAAACATGGCAAACCTTTAAGGGACGGAGGGAGTATTTCGTAAATATGTATTCTTCTATAAAAAATATTGCCCACATTGGCTTTCACCGAACTATTCTTAAGTATAACTTCGTATATACTCCATAATTTTTTATTACATACTAGGTATTGCAATTATTATTTTATAACTTACACATTTTATTTGTATAAGAATTTTTTTTCACTAATAATGCTAACAAATAATAAAATATAATTGGTGCTTAATTTTAATTCGTGCATCGCACGGGTGATATTCTAGTTATAAAAAAGGTGACAACTCCGGTACCTTTCTAAAAAATGGGGTATCGTACTTATCATTTATTTGATTGGACCACACCACTTTATCATTTTTAATTTAGATTTAAATAATTCAACTGATACATTCTCATTGGTGCATTTGGACAAAGATATGGTTCGTTATGAGTACCATAGAATCTACGGCTTGGATTTAAAGCCGAGATAAAAGCGAGCTGCTGCCACCGTACGGCTTACGCTGCCGTGTGTCCGACACAAAATCGTGGCCGGGGTCGCACAGACTTCTAAATTCACAAATCTGAACGGGGGCTCCAACGTTCCATAGTTCACTTGTGCTTATGCTTTATTCGTCTCTTTAGTCAGACTTTCAACTTTGAAGCTCTCATCAACTGAACTTCGTCAGTTTCAGTCTACTCAAGTATCTACTTCAGAAGGTTTAAGGTCAAGCTTCTGCACCTATCAATTGCTATTCAGTATCCATTTTCTACTTCTTCATATGCTGTTCAATTATGTTCTCTCTTTTCAATATTTTAAGAATTGTCAAACAGCCAAACTGTGGGGGTTATTTAGTTGAATAATTCGAATGGAAACTAAGATAGCTGGGATCGAAAATTTATTCGTTGCGTATTATATCAGTATCAGTATGTCTACAGAACTTTTGGCTTCAGTTCTTGACTTTTGTTTTTGTTTTTTAGGGTAGAGGGTGTACCATACCCTACTGCAATACGTGCAAGCATGGATTGTTATTAGGACTTGAGTGAATATCGGTAGGTGATCTAGTCATCTAACCGTAAGTAGATGACGCTGAGGTTGTTTGCAGCTTCATTGTCTGCAATTCAAAAACTAAATCAGTAACTCTTTGCCAAGATGTCTGCACCAACCCGCAGGTTATTGAGTTTGAACTGATTATCATTTTTATGGTACATTTACGGATGAAACTGGGATACAAAATTTTCGGACTTGTTTAGTTGGGAGATCTTCAAGGACATGTTTATATATTTGATTTATTAATTAATGCCCTCCCTCTAATAGTTAGTATTAAACTGAAGACAACCATATGGTTGGTCAAATCATGTATCTCTCTGTATTTTTTCATCTTTACTTTTTATTCAACTATAATTAATAAAATAGGTACCACAGCATCACACACACACACTCCCTTCTCTGAAATCATCCAGCTAAACAAGGGCTAAGGCCTGTAGTCCTTTGGTAGGGGGCTAGTTCTGGAAAGTTCCTTTATTCTGGATAATTAGCCCTTATTCCAATGTTTGAAATCTGTATTCACTAATTCGGTTATCTCAATCCAGTCTGCATACCTTGTGGCATGACTAATATCCTGGAATTGGATGAAGTTTCGTTGTCCCAAGCATAATTTTTAATGAATTCAAGTAATCCAATTCCCAGAAAATTAATCCAAATGAGGCCTTACTGTGTTCTTCACTTGCAGCTCAAGTGTGAGGAGACCCGCTGAAACTATGAGACTTCTACTCACAACTTTAGTTGGGATTGTATTTGGTTTCTTCTTAGGTGTTTCCTTCCCCGCCCTCTCGTTGACAAAAGTAAGCCGACCACTTGTTTGCATTTATAAACATTTATTCTGATATATTCATCTTACCTTTTGAGTTTTCTCATTTACAGAATAACGTACTATCAAGTCTCTTCCCTTCCATTAACCATACTTATGTTGAGGACAAGAACTCCGGTCTCTCAACTCAAACACTGTTAAATGTCTTGTCTTCCCTGAAGGGTAGCAGGGGTGGCTCACCTAAACACAGTACTCCAGAGGTAATTCTCCTTCAAATTAGTATGTGCTTGCAAGGTAATTGGATCCAAATGCAAAGGAAGCAGTGCATTCTTTAGGCTGAAACAGCCAGGCCTTGTTTGGTAGCAACGTAGCATTGATCAGCTCATTCTGCTTATCTTCCAAACAAGAAGCCTTTGACTTATTTTGCTGAAATTGGTTTTACCAAACACTTCTCTCAGCCAAATAACCCTTTCCAATTTGGCATTATGTTCAGATATTGGGATCAGCAACAGTGCTCGTGATAAAAGCTAGAATTATTTCCACTTTTGTTTCGTGACTTTTGAGTCACCTCCACTTTTGCTTCAACTTTGGGGCATGGCTTTTAAATTGTTTCCAATTTTGGTCAATTAAAACGTTCATCCATTAATCTGGTTAAATGTGAGTGGAAGCATGGTAGTACATCTCGAGATCCTACATAGGATTGTGTAGCTGAATGGAGATCGTAACTTGTTAGATCGTGACACTGGTCATAAGATCCTACTATATATATATGGATGTATATGTACACTCACATACACACACATATGCACTCACACGCACACATATATATAGTGTTAGTGTGTATGCGTGTATATATATACAATAACAAAACATCCAAACCTTAGTCCCGAAAGATTTTGGGGTCAGTTAACATGAACCGATACATGATATCCAAGCTAAAAAGAAAAGAAAGGTAAGAGAGATAAAAAAGGTAAGATAAAATTGATAAGATAAAATAAATATAAATATAAGATCATTTTCATTTACCCCAGTGCCGCAAAGGCTCCCACCTACGGTGGGGTAAAGGGGGGTCGGATGTACGCAGTCTTACCCCTGTACTAAAGCACAGAGAGACTGTTTCCGGATGACCCATAGTGAAAATCCATAAATATAAATATAAGATAAAGAGGATAAAAAGATAAAAGAAATAAAGAGAGAAAAAAGAGAGAAAAAAGAGAAAAAAGTGATCAATCCTCCACAAAACCCTTCTCACTTAGAGACCTTCTCCACTTGAGACTTTCTCGACGCGCGTAAAACGAGCCCTGCTTTAAAAACTATGCTTGTTTATGACTTTTAGAGCTTATGGCATGTGATATTTACTTCCCTTGAAATATTTTGGAAAGAAATTCTGATGATTACGAATATGAGACCGTGATTCGGATGCGTTTGTACTGTGTTTACGACTCTGTGCATCGATCCTAGCAATCTTAGTATTTTTCCAATCGCTTGTCTATCTGAATCGTAACCGCTACAGAAGAACGTAAAATGGTCCTACGATTAGATCATGATTTTGACCACCATTAGTAGAAGAGCTGATAGAATGTATTAAATTGTCACAATTGTCTTCAAATGACAGAAATGCCCTTTAAACAGGCTCAATGTCTTTTGCTAGATTTCAAAAGCATTATGATGATGCTTTTCTATTGAAATTAAAAATGATTATGGTGAAACTAAAACTATTAACTTTAGCTTTTCTAGGATTACAATCTTTTTTTTTAATCAAAGTAAGCGCACCAAAGCTCTACTCCTTGCTTATTTATTGAGAACTATTTCTCTGGAAAAGTGTTTGTTAAAGTCACTGCCCAAAAGTACTAAAATCTTATTTCTATTTTTCCATTCATATTTGGCCTGGTATATGCTAGGAGGAACCAATGTGGCAAGAATTTAATGTTTACCAAAAGCGGAATAAAGATCAATAAACAAAAGCTAAGAGCTAAAGGCTAGATTGACCGTGTAGTCATGGGACGAAAATATAATGCAAATAATTTTAGATGCCATATTATTCGTGTTGCATGAGATGATCACTTGTTCTCTTACAACGGTGAATAGACCATCCCTTGTTTGCTCTCTTACGTGAAGCGATGATTTTGCAGATTTGGGTTCCATCAAACCCTCGAGGAGCTGAGAGGTTACCCCCTGGCATTGTTACTGCAGAGTCTGATCTTTACTTTCGAAGATTGTGGGGCTTACCCAGTGAGGTTTGTGTTTTCTTCCTTGTAGAATATGTCTAAAGTCTAAACTCACTCATCTCCAACAGAGATGTATTCTACTCCATAATAGGAATGCATCACTAACAACATCGAAGCCTTAGTCCCAAAAGAGTTTAGAATCAGCTAACATGAACTAATATATGAAATCAGAGCTAAAAAGATAAAAAAATACTCTTCCGTCTCAAAAAGGTTCGCCAAATTGACTTTTCTTGGTCAATGTCAATCAACTTTGACTAATGATATTTCTTAATACGAAGTTATTTAGAATATGAAAATTATATCAAATGTTACTCATTAAGAATATTTTCATAAAAGTATGAACTTTGTAAATTATATACAAATATAATAATTAAAATTATCGTCCAAAGTTCGCCATCATTGACCAAGAAAAGTCAATATGGCGATCCTTTTCAGGACGGAGGTAGTATAAGATAAAGATTAAAAAAATGATAAAAAAGATAAGATAAAAAAAGGGAAAGATAAAAAAGATAAAATCAAAGATAAAAAATATAAGATGAAAAGATAAAGAAAATAAGAAAGATAAAGAATGAGATTAATCCTTCCACATGTATATTAATCCTTCACCCTCTCTAAAGTCTAAAGTCCTACTCTCATCCAACCCAAGAAGATGTTACGGACCAATTCTATGGCCGTACATATGAACGAAGGAAGCAGTGTGGGGCAGAGAAGATTAATGACCAACGTGGCTAAGAGAAAAAGAAGAGAAAAGAAATAACAAGGCAGTTAGAGTCATATTAATATTAGTATTTAATTAGTCCTACTTTAATTAGTATTCCTTTATCTTAGTTGTATTAGAATAGCAACTTAGTTTCCTATTTGTTTTAGGAAACCCTTTATCTATTTAAGGGGATCCCAACTACTTTAATAAACAGCTTTTTGGTTAATTAATCTCGAAATCTCTTGACTAGGTCGGGGATCGATAATTATCTATTAAGCCTCTAATTCAATTCATCTATTCCACGTCAATTAAAATAGCTCCAGGAACATCATCGTTTACCTGTGGTCAATCCCGTTCACGTCCTTGGACGAGGTCTCTGACTCACGCACTTAACAACTTGGTATCAGCTTCTGGAATGATGGGGACCGACTCTACTGCTGCCGATTCCCTGAAAACCATGATCGAGAGTGTTGACCAACGACAACTGGCTGTTGAACAACAACTGGCAGATCTCTAGGCATCTATGGATAAACTGCTCGCTCTTCCGGCGGCCATGGAAGCCTTGTCCACCACCGTGCAGAGGTTAACAGGGGAACCGTCATCTGGTTCTCCCCAGTTCGCACGCAGAAGAAAAGCTGACTCTTTTCGCCGTGATCATGAAGACTCCTTGGTTCCCAGATTCTCCAAGATGGAATTTCCGCAGTACGATGGGAAGAGTGACCCTCTGTCATGGCTAAAACGCTGTGAAAGCTTCTTTGTTCAGCAATGTACCCCAGCTCAAGCTCGGGTTGGCCTGGCGACATTCCATATGATCGGCACAGCGCAACTTTGGGCTAATCAGTTGGATACGAGCGCTTCACCAGTCTCTTGGACAGAGTTCTACACCATATGTACGAAACGTTTTGGCCCGCCTAGTAGCGCCAATCTCGAAGGAGAACTTGCCAAACTACGCCAGATGAGCGACCTTGAGTTGTATATTGAATCTTTTCAACAAATATTAGCTCACACGGTGGGGATCTCTGCCCGTATGTAGGTTAAGATATTTACAGCCAGGCTCCGCGAGGTTGTCCGAAAAGGGGTTGAGTACCAGGATCTATTAGACCTTGACTCGGCTATGATGCTGGCCCGCATTGTCGAACGCAAATATCACCTGCCAAACTATTCGCCTGAACTTCTGATCCAACCTACGTTCAACATCAGTACCTGCCACTGCGGAATCCAACCCGAACCGACGCCAAACAAATCCAAACTTCAAAAAGATATCTCGCGTAGAGGCTGCTATCCGCAGGGAAAAAGGCCTTTGTTATAACTGTGACGATCCTTGGGTCCGTGGCCATCAATGCAAAAGGCTATTCTTTATTGAAATTATGGATGAAGACAGAAAATCAGTTTGAGCCAACTCTCTCCCTTCATGCTATGACTGGCCTCGGTTCCACTTCCACTATGCAATTGGCAGTAACTCTTCACGATATACCCATTACAGTTCTGGTAGACTCGTGTAGTACTCATAATTTTGTACATCAAAGGCTGGTTCCAGAAAATACCCATTCAATTCATCCCGGATCCCGTCTCCATGTTCAAGTGGCTAATGGGGACAGAGTACCTATCTTGGGCACATGTCCTCAACTTGACTTCGTGGTGGGAGGACGCACATTTATTGCGGACTTTTATGTGCTTCCATTGGCCGGGTTTGACATGATATTGGGCGTTCATTGGCTTCAACGCCTCGGCTCGATTGAATGGGATTTTTCACGTCTTTTCATGCGCTTCATCTGGCAGGGCACTCCAGTGGAATGGCGTGGTCATACTCGAGTCCCAACACTTCAGGCCCACATGATCACAACCACATCCCCTAGCATGGAGAGTCTCTTGGCCCAATATGAGGACCTCTTCAGGTTGCCTGCTGGACTGCCACCTCCACGTGCTTGTGATCACAAGATCACTTTGCTTCCAGGAACTGGTCCAGTGGTTGTTCGTCCTTACCGTTACCCCTATTTCCAAAAGGATGAGATTGAGAGGCAGTGTACGGAGATGCTTTAGCAGGGTATCATCCGCCCCAGCCGCTCTCCTTTCTCATCACCCGTCCTTCTGTTATGTTGTTTGATTGTTGAGGAAAGCGTAAACTATGCCCTCCTTTTATGTACGGAAAGTAAATTAAACCAATTTCTTTCTCTTTCCTTTTTCTCCTTTCTTCCTTCCGCAGAATTGTATCTTCCTAAATGCTATTTAATCGTCCGCAGGTCACCATCCATGTAAGAACTGAAATGCTGGAGCACTGGCCGGATTCAGACCTCCTTGGCGGTGGCAGAAATGTTGATGGAACTGTAACTTGGACGGGCAATGGAACAACCAGAGGATTTGCGTTTGAATAAATATTATTACTCCCAGGCTATGTTGCACGGAACTGTGAATATCATGAGGAAATGAGAAACGGGAAACATCAACTTTTGCTCAAAAACGTTTGTTTAGAGAGTTTTCAAAAAGTTTCCGTAGAGTTCCGAAACGGAAACCTGCTCTTTCTTGAGAGTTTCTGTGCCACAATAGTTGTTGGTTGCAGTGCAGCCAATAACGGCAGCTGCGGCAGACCTGGTGGTGAAGGAAGAGAGAGAAAGACTGCGTTCAAAAGGCATGATTTGGTAGTCAAAGAACTGATAAATTTTATCGTCGGATTTGGTGAAGAAGAGAAGAGAAGGAGAAGGCGTTGGTGGTTCTACGCAAAAGGGTATGAAAAGAGGGAACATGGAAAGAGAAAGGAAATGAAAAAGAAAAGAAAGAAAAAATGGCGATGTGGGCTGTCACGTGTGCGCTGCATGAGCAGGTAACTTGTTGACCGTATGGAGGCGTAATTGATGAAAGTTAAAGTATGGAGGCTTAATTGACTTTCCGTACATAATAAGAGGGCATATTTGACATTTGGTAACTAAGAAGCTTGACAAATTATACAATAAAAAATAAACACTCGCAACGATGGCGGAAGGGACCTAGCCGGCGGCTAAGGTTAGTTTTGGTCGCGTAAGATTTTTCTTGCCCAGCTTGTTTCTACGTCCAGTTTTCACGGCAACGAATCGGCAGCAAGGGCTTCGATTTGCGAACTCTAATATCTCGCCTCTACAAGTACTAAAATCAAGCTCTGAATCTTCTCCGTAAGGCAGCGGCTCGGCTACCGGCATAGAGGGAGTTCTGGACCTGAATTGTCAAAACAAGATGGAGAACGGATACAACAATGAAGATGTTGAAGCGCTAGCACAGGAGTACGGTCAGTTGGAGATGGAAGAGGAAGATGAGTTCCTAATTGTAGAGCCCATGACACAAAACTCTTCCAAGCATAATCTGACCCCGTTTGGTACAATCACGTCGAAAAAATTGGTACGTTTCACTCAATTTAGAGATATTATGGCGTCTGTGTGGAAACCTGAAAAAAGGTGTTACTATAACTGAAATCGGCCCTCAGAGATATGTGTTTCAATTCTATAATGAAGAGGATATGAATAGGGTAGTAGAGGAGGGACAATGGCTTTTCGATCAGAACCTAATTGTTATGAGTAGGCTTAAAGAAGATGATATCCCTATGTCTGTTCCACCGAACAAAGCAGAGTTTTGGATTCAAGTTCATGATATCCCAGTGGGCTATTTCACCATAAACAATGCGGAACACATTGGGAATTTTTGGGGACTTTTATAAAAGTGGATGAAAACAATTTCTCTGAGAGGTGGGAATCTTTTATGAGGATTCGAGTCCGAATTGATTTGGGGAAACCCCTGAAAAGGAAATTGTTCCTCCAAAAAGAGGAAGGGGTCAACTTCTGCGTCAGATTTTGCTATGAGAAACTGCCTAGTTTATGTTTCTTGTGTGGCATAATAGGTCATACTGAGAGTCATTGTCCCCGCAAGAGGAGGCATTATGAGCTAACCGGAGAAAGGCCTTTCGGCCCTTGGCTTAGGGCACCAAAAGGGGCAAGGCAATGGAAGGAGAATAAATGGCTTGTCCCAGCAAGTAAAGGAATCAACTCGGGCAACCAGTGAAGAGGGTAGGCGAACAGGCACTTTGGAAGGCGGGTCCTCACAAAAAGAGAAAGGGAACCTTGAGCAAAAGCGCAGACGTGTGGAGGATTCAGAAGTCTACCAAATTGGGGAGGAGATGAAGCTTGTGCATGCCGAGGAAAAAACGGGGAGGAGGCGAGCTACAAGTTTGTAGCTCGCCCGACACAGATCTAACAGCTCCCCTACCACTGCAGGCGGGAATAAATAAGGCAGGAGGCCATGAAGCATTTTATTATTTTTACGCTATTTTATTTTCGGTTGATCATGCTGCTTTTGTTTTCGGTATGAACTTTAGAGGTAGGTTGTTTGTTTGCTTTCTATTTTTTGCTCAGAACATTGTAGTGCATGGAAGCGATAAGGCTTGTTTGGCCGTTAAAAGCTTCGAAGCTCTCACATGGTTAACGAATAGTCTCGCTCTCTTCAGGGTGGTCTATTATATGTCTAGTCAGAGAGTGGGAGGGCCTTTTGGCTATGCAGAGCCTCACTGGGAGGTTTGGCGTTGTATGGGCGGAAGAACTTTGCTAAGTTTGATTGCTATAATATAATCAGTTTCCTTTAAAAAAAAGAGGGCATATTTGACACTTCTCTCTTGAATGTATATTAGAAGATCCGAATGAAAATTTGACTTGATTAGAAGTTTGTAAAAAATTTCAGATATATACATAAATGAATGAGCTCAAACAAATATCTAACATTGATATTTAGTTTAAAACTTTGAACTAATTCTTCCCTTTCTGTTCAATTCTTTCCTTCCAAATTTCCCATATATTATCCATCTCATTTACATTCTCTAGCATTTTACGGGTTCCAAATGGATCATTGAAGTTTTAACATTTTCACCCAAAAGGATTGAATTTCCAACATGGAAGAATTTGCAGAAGATAAAATATCACCATAAAAACTTGGCTTCTTTCTCTTCATTCTAATATGAATGATCTTAATAATAAGGCCCTCTAACAGACTAACACCATCAATTTCTTTATGACATAGAGATAGTAAATAAATATAATAGAATTTGGGTTTCTACTCTTCTGTCCATATCTTGCACCCTCTTTCTTATGCTCTTTTGTTTCTTTTTTTGTGTTGAATTGAACTGCAGGACTTAATCACCAAGACAAAATATCTTGTTACATTCACAGTTGGATATGACCAGAAGAATAACATTGACGCTGCAGTGAAAAAGGTTTGTTTGAATTCTTATCCGCTTGTCCTCAGCCCTTGATGGTCCGTTTGGATGGAGGCTTTTGTAGGGGAAGGCTTTGGAGAGCTTAGGATGTTTTTACTTGGACTTTTTCAATCCCAGACCAGACTTGGATAGTTATAAAAGACACAGAGACCAGACAACCAGACATTTACCAGACCAGACAAGAAAATTTCAGTCCATTTAAAAACATCCTTAGTTTGTATCTAGATAAATAGAATCTTTCTAACAAATTAAACAAAGAGTGATTGTACGTGATATTGGTACCTATCATGTTGTTCTGTGCTTGTATAAAATCTCAAGCATTATATCAAAATATGAAACCTAGCCCTGAACTACCTTCTGAATCCCTTCATCCAAACTAACCCTAAGTAATGTTCTTAGTCGTGCGTCTGTGTGTCCATTTAATGCATGCCAACATCTCATGTACTTAACAACCTTATGCAGTTCTCAGGAAACTTTACCATTATGCTCTTTCACTATGATGGACGGACTAGTGAGTGGGATGAATTTGAGTGGTCAAAACAGGCTATCCATGTCAGCGCTTTGAAGCAAACTAAATGGTGTTGTATCTTGTAATCACAATATATTTTTACTGCATTTAGACTGTTGTGATCATGTGGTGGTTTGTGTTCCACCTGATAATTGTTTCTCTTTATTTTGAAAGGTGGTATGCAAAGCGCTTTTTGCATCCCGACATTATAGCACCATATGACTATATATTTATTTGGGATGAGGATTTGGGGCTTGAGAATTTCAATGCAGAGGAGTAAGTACAATATGTCTGTGACAAATAGCTCTAAATGCTCGAGTAATTATAATAAAAAGCTTAAATATGTTTTCCATTCTTGCAAATTTATACCATCGTATTGTTCTTATTTTAAATCCCTATTTTATTGTTCATACCTGTAATTTTTGCTTTTTCTATCATTCTATGTTTAAAAACTGGTGCTACTTACAGAACTCATTAGCTACTATTAAGGGAGTAGGGCTCACAGAACTCTATTCCAGCCTCTCCACGTGGATTTTTGCCATATTTACTTTCAATTTATGCACCTATGAATTTTTGGGATTATAATATAAAGCATTAAAAAGATGAAGTGCAAACAAGAAAAGCCATACTGAAGTTCTGTGGGCCATGTCAGTTTTTATAATCAGAGGTTGTTGGAGAGGGGCTTAAGTAGGGAATAGGGATGAACAACCAAAACAATGATCTAAAACAAAAAACACTATGTTTGCAGGGACAAAAAACATATTCAAGCCACGTGAGAATTTAGAAATGTTTGCGATGAATTTAGATTTGTATGTCTATTGCAGGTATATAAAATTGGTGAGGAAACACAGTTTAGAAATTTCACAGCCCGGTCTGGCACCAGACAGCGGGTTAACTTGGCAGATGACGAAGAGGCGGGATGACACTGAAGTTCACAAGTAGGATTTCATGTAATTTTCCCAAAAAGATACAAAAAAGTTCAATACTATAAATTTAATTAAATAAAAAGCTACTCCATAAGTCCTTAATTTTTAGGATTTCATGAATTTTAAGAGGTCTTAAGTATTAAAATTTAAAAGTTGTACCTTGACCAAACATAAACCGGAGTCTTGGCGCACCAGTTAAGGTGCTGTTGCTGTATGACCGAGAGGTCATGGCTTCAAGTCGTGGGAGAGGCCTCTTGTAAAAGATTTGACAGGGGAAGGCTTTCCCCTTATACACCCTTGTGGGACCCTTCCCTGAATCTCCTCACCTTGCGGGGATACCTTCATGCACTGGGCTGCCCCTTTTTTACCTTGACCAAACATGACTCTTCTTTTGAAATGGAAGGAGTAATACTTCGTTTCGTTTTACGTGTGCATTTGGTGTTTGTAATCTTGGAAACATCATAACTTATTAAAATCCACTTTCATCCTCTCATTTACTAAACTTACCCAATCCAAACAGAGTTTGATCATTTCTCCTTCCCTTACGCTTATTAACTAACCTGCCTCTCTCTGATTCCGATCACATAGTAAGCGCCTTTTCTTTTAAATACGAGCATGCATAACTTAGATCTCTTGCATTTTTGTTACCTCGTGTAGAGAAACGGAGGAAAGACCTGGTTGGTGTTCTGATCCACATCTCCCACCATGTGCTGCGTATGTCACCTCGAATGATATCTATTAAGTACTGCATAGAACACGCATAGCCTTTATCCTTTTTATTGATGCATGTGATCTACAACCACTTGTAAGCAGGTTTGTTGAAATCATGGCACCTGTATTTTCTAGGGATGCTTGGCGTTGTGTATGGTATATGATACAGGTATGAAATATAGCCGCAGTATCTATTTCAGCTTATCTCCAATAGTGTATTTTATGTGGATATCCGATATCTTACCGTTGGATTGTCATAATTAATGGGCCACAGTGAAATGTGAAGTAGAGCTTTTAAAGATTTTTTTTTTCCAATTTTGACCACATGACTTGCGGTCTTGGTTTCAATTTTCCACTTTCAGATGCACAATTATGGATTTCTAGTCACTTTTGGTCCTCTTAGGTCACTTGTCTGGCAAAAATCAACTGTATATTGTATCAATTTGTATGGATAAGTGGTCCGAAGGACCGAAGGACCAAAGTGACGAGTAAAGCTTTATTGTATCCCAAAAATGGGAATGATGAAAATTGGGAAATAAGTAAAGGCTGACTTAACAACTGTGTTACCAAAAAGTGAAATATTTTCATTATTAAATACATGTGGGCCATGATGTGGCCACAATTCAATGGTCAGAGCTCAGGTTTAAAATAGACGATCTCATTCCCTATTCCCCTGGTTACCAAAAAGTAAAAACTGAGATTGATGTGGTGACTCTTCTATTGCAGAATGATCTGGTTCATGGATGGGGTCTTGATTTTTCTCTTAGAAAATGTGTGGAGGTAAGTATTTGCAGCACAACATAGTTTCATCATAACTATTCACCATAGGTTAATAATGTGTCTTTAATGCAACTGTAAATTTATGCTAGCCTGCACATGAAAAGATAGGAGTTGTAGATGCACAGTGGATTGTGCACCAAACTGTTCCTTCTCTTGGGAATCAGGTATTATTCCATATATCTGAGTCATCTGACTCGAATACACCATTCATGACCTTTGTTAGAGATATGGAGACCTTAATCTTTTTGTTTTTAATAGGGTCAATCAGAGAACGGCAGGGCCCCATGGGAAGGGGTATGTTGGATGTTTCATTCTTACCACCAAACTTTCATATTGATCTGGGTTAATTATATCTCCCTTCCCCTATGTTTAGTGAAAAGTCACCAATTGATCCTCGAGTTCTTGAAAGTTGCAATAAGCCCCTTGATCAAACATATTTTCGGCAAGCGACACTAAAACATTTTAGGATACAACGATACTACTAGGAATTGAGCACATATCAGTTTCAATTATCATCGATTTTTGTCTTAGAAAAGTTTTTACAATTTTTTAATTACTTGAGCTCAACTAATTGAGCTCAATTGTCTTACAATTGAGCACATTTCAGGAAAAGCTTTAATTAGTTGAGCTAATAATGTGAGAATTTAGAAATGTTTAGAAGATTAATTTGGCAAAACTTATGAACCATGTTAGGATAAGTGATATTTGTAGAACTTGAGTTTTTTGAGTCTAAAATATCAGCATATTTGAGAATTTAGAAAAGTTTAGAAGAATAATTTGGTAAAACTTATGTAACATGTTAGGATCTAGTGATATTAGTAGAACTTGAGTTTCTCGAGTCTAAAATATCATCAATATCTGCAGCAAAGATTATTTTTTAGGGAATGCTTTGAGTAATTTAAGCCGATAATTTGAGAACCCAGAAAAGTTTGGAAGTAAAATTTGGCAAAACATATAAATCTTCGTATTTGACAAGTCCTGTTTTAGGCGGTTACAAACAGGCCTACCATTATTACAAGACTATTCACTAGTTTAATTAATAATCAAATACATTTAGTTACAACTTACAAGGAGTGTCTTGCTTTAACGGACATAAGCTATATACAGTTATATACACTTCAACAGAAAATGCATTTGAACAACAAATTCAGTACAAAGATGTATACTTATTTATAATATCATTATATGAAGTATTTTATAAGCTTCAAGTGTAAAAAAGTATCATTTGCAAAAACTCTAACCTGTTCTCAGAGATCTGAAGGATTACTCAGTCATTTGACCAAACCTTGGGAAGGTAGATGTAATTAATTCATATGCTTTCCTAGTCACCTGTGGGAGGGGGATTTCCACAAACTCAGAAGCCCTCTTTGTGCCATGGTTCTAATGACAGGAACAGCCCCCCGGCTCCCCACCATTTAACCAACGATTGAGAAGTCGGGAATGGCTTGTCCTTGCCATGTGGTTGATCATGACCATTCATCGCCCCATCCCCACCCCCATCCTAACAATGCACCATTGATAAGATTGGATTTTGACTGAGATGCATGAGCGAGCATAACTTCTGGAATAAAAAAGATAAAGTTTGATTGATAATGGAAACTAATATGTTGGCCAGGTGAGAGAGAGGTGCAGAAGAGAATGGGCAATGTTTCAAGATCGGTTGACTGCTGCTGAGAAGGCCTATTTTGAGGCATTGGGATCCGGTTCACGTAACTCCACTTCTCTTTAATAACACAAACTTCTATCTACATCACAAAGGATGCACAGAGCTAGCGCAACAAGCAAATATATTAGGTGACTAGGTGATGAGTCTCTGTAGGTTGAAAAGCTAATAGTTGGCCGCACATGGAGATTCAATCTAATTTTGATAGCAGCCCTTATAGTTTCGTGTGTGATATGTAATACGGAGTAGTCTTTAGATCTTTTGTTGCCTACCTACTTCATTTTCCTTGCTCATGCTTTTTGCGTGATTTACAGTTTTATACTAATATAATACAATACAATTGGATTAGTCCAAACTCCAAACCAGCTATTTGCTTGCCTAAAGTACCACAACTCAAAGGGCATTGGCACTAGTGTCTAGTGGTCTCACTTGACCCAATTGATGATTACTCGGTATGAAATTATGAATGTAATGATCATATTCCTTAATTGGCATTAGATCGCCATGGTTCAAAGGTTCTTGGTAGACTTGGATTCGGTTCAGGCCACCCGGCCAGTGACCCAGCCCGGTCCGCTACTGTGCGGGCCGGAGACCAGCCCGGTCTGCCAGTCCGGGATCGGGTGTAGACCCGAACCGGGTGGGAAGGGCGGGCCGGGCTCGGTTCAGGCAAAAGGTGACCCGGCCGGGTCGGGCCCGAGTCTGGGTTAGGTCCAACGGTCAATTTTTTTTTTTGTTTGGGCCACAACTAGCCGTTGGGGGTGGGCTGGGGACTACCCAAACGGCTATAGAGTCGTTGGGTGGGCTGGAGGGGGGGGGGGGTTCGGGCGGTTTGGGGGGGTGGGGGTGGGGGTGGGGTAAAAAAAACTATAAATACTCCTAATCTTAAACATTTTTCCATCTCTTCTCCAAAATCCTATTCTCTATTCTCTAATTATCTTCATCTTCTCAAATTCACTTATTTTCCAATATATTATATATCTACTTATATTATTAATGTACTTAGAAATACATATATTATAAATTTATAATTTATATTACTTATATTTCTTATCTACGTATATATATGGTTGGACTCATGTCGGGCCACCCGCCCCGTGGACCGGCCCGGCCCGCTACTGTGCGGGACCAGGACCGGCCCGGTTCTCGGGTCCGGGTCGGGCCTAGGCCCGGGGGTAGGGCGGGTCTGGGCTCGGGTCTCAAATTTGGTGAATCGGCCGGGTCGGGCCTGTGCCCGGGCCAAATTGTTTATTTTTTTTGTTTTTTTTTTCATTTTTGGGGTTCCACCTGGGTTGGGCTTGATGGGTAGGATGGGTTTGGGGGGGTTTGGGAGCGTGGGGGGTGAGGGGGGGGGGGGGGTTAGAAAAGCAAAAAAAAAAATCCAAACCAGTGGCTACCTGAGCCGGTCCCGGGTCCACCATTCCTGAACCGCCGGCCCGCTCCGGACCCGAGTCCACCCCTACGTATATAGTTATATACTCCCTCCGTCCCTTAAAACCGTGCCATCTTTCCTTTTTGGGACGTCCCAAAAAACTTTGCCACTTTCCCTTTTAATCAATTATTTTGTGGTTTCTGTTATTTCTCTCTGCTCTGCACAACCTTCAACCACACAGTTTTTACTTTATTATTCTCCGTGCCGGTCAACTTTGGCAAAATTTTAAGGGACAGAGGCAGTATTAATTATCTATTTATAAATACATATATTATATTACTTATATTTGTTATCTACTTAATCTCTACTTATTATCTACTTATATCTACTAAATACATACATATTACAATTTATATCTACTTAGTTAGAATTGTTAGAATTTTATTTCATTAAAGTTAGAATTGTTAGAATTTTATTTCATTAGTTAGAATTGTTTTTATAAATTAATATTTGTTACATTTTTAAGATGGAAGGTGGTAGATATTCGGTTGATATGGGTAATCTCGAGCGCAACCGAACGAACGAGCTTGCGAGGAAGAAATCCCGCAAAGGTTAATCACATATCGGCTTTTCATCTCAAAGCCGAGATGATTTTGATACATGTTACACAAGGAGGGATGTGGATGCCATGACCGACGAACAACTTGAACAAGAATTGCACCGACATAATAGTCGATTTTTCCAAGACCAGCCGAGGACCATTGATGAAGAAGAGCTCGAGGACGACGATGTGGAGGAAGTAATTTCGGAGAGCCATGACGGCAACGCGGGGGAGGGTGGCGGCAGCCACGACGCTGACGAGCCTGCCTCATCCCAAACAGGTACGAAAAAAAGTAGATCTGAACTAACGCAAAATAATTTTGATAAGTGGAAGGACCCGAACACCGGGAATTGGAACGCAACTTGCAAGTGGTGCAAGAAAAATTATAGCTTGGGGATTTCCGGCGGATACAGATCCGCCACAAGGCATCTTAAGGCCAAACAGGCAAACACCCGGTGGAGTATGCAAAATTAGGCGGCGGAACGGGAAAGCAAACTCAAATACCAAGATTCGCAAATAACCAACAACCTTTTGGTAATTTCTCATACAATGATGCACAAAATTTGACAGGTATGACTAACTTACTTGTTGAAGAAAAATTGCCTTATTTATTTTCTGAAAGTCTTGTTTTTCGTGATTATGCACAAACTTGTTTAAATCCTCAATATAGAGGTTATAATCGCAAAACGATTAAGAAAGAAATTTCAAGGCTTTATGGTGCGGAAAAGGTAAGGTTACAAAATTATTTTGCAAACTTTGATGAGCGTGTTACTGTATGTTCTGACATATGAGAGGATACTTATCATAATTTACATTATTTGGATCTGACTGTACATTATATTGATAATGATTGGAATATGTATAAACGTGTTCTTGCTTTTTGTGAATTTAGTGATCGTCACACCGCTGAACATATTTATATTTTGATTGAGCGTATTTTAATTGAGTATAATTTAATTGATAAGGTGTTTGCTATTGGTTTTGATAATGCTACTAATAATACTGCTGCTATTCCTAGATTGCGTGAATTGTGTGGTTCTACTTTGATGAGTAGATTTTTTCATCAACGATGTGCATGTCATGTTATTAATTTATGTGTGCAAGATGGTCTAAAAGCTTTAGAAGCATCTTTGGAGGTAGTCAAGGGGGGGATTAGATGTATTTGGGGTAATGGTCAACTTAGAAAAAAGTGACATGATTATTTGATAGAAAGAGGTGAGAAATATGTGGCTTTTCCTAAAGATTTATCTATTCGTTGGAATAGTACTTATAAGTTAATTGCAGTTCTTCTTAGATATAAACAACATTTTCCTGCTTTTATGAAACAATATGATAACTATATTATAAACTCGGCTGAAATCGACACCTGTAGAAAAAATTGTAATGCTTTGGTATATTTTAATAATGCAACCGAAACTTTTAGTCATGTTTATAAATCTACCTCAAACCAATTTATTCGTGAATCTGTTAATCTCGCCGGTGCTTTTTCAAATTTTGAGAATGCCGATTATGTGAGTTATTTTGCTGGTTTTATGAAGGATTTTTTTTAAATATTATTCACATATTCCGCATATTTTTATGGTATTGCATTTGTTCTCGATCCTCGTTTTAGACTTGGTTCTTTAGAAGAATGTTTGAATTATTATTATGCTGCTTTTTTTGGTCCAATGCCAATGTATGACGAGAACTCAATTGATCCGAAAAAAGAATACAACGAGGTTAGTGATATATTTTATGCATTATTTAATGAGTTTCATGCACAATATGGCAACGCGCCCCCTCCCCCGACACAAACCTCTTCATCTAAAGGAAAATCAATTTTGAAATCTACATTTGCCAATCTTATTAACAAACTAAAACAACACCCGCTACTCAACAAAGCACAATTAATGAGATTTCTTTGTATTTAACATATGATGTTGATTTTGAAGAAGATGATGACTTTGACGTTCTAAACTAGTGGAAGGGAAAAGAAAGAATGTTCCCGGTTTTAGCAAAGATGGCTAAGCAAGTGCTATCAATGCCAGTTTCAACAGTTGCCGTCGAACATAATTTAGTTCGGCCGGAAATGTCCTAACACAATGTAGAACGAGGTTGAGCGCAGAATCTCTTGAGATGCTTATATGCTACCACGATTGGTTGAAGGCAGCCCGTAGAGCTCAAGAAATTGACATCACCCCATTTCAACACTTTATGGATGAATCTACAACCGAGGGTGGCTCTACCTATTACGGAGATTTCGATTGATTAGTATTTCATGTTTTAATTTTACCTTCAATTCTCAAAAGTAATTTCATATTGTATTTTTTTCTTAATCGTCAAATGTAGTTCCTATTTCATTTCAAATAAATGCACTTGAAGTTTGTTTTTAATACTTGTATAAAACTATAAAGTATATTATATAAAAAATGGATTTAACCGGCCCGGCTCGGCCCGGCGGGTGGCCCGACCCGAACCGGAACCGCCTTTACCTCAGGCCGGTCCCGGGCCCACCCTTCACAAATCGGCGGCCCGACCGGGCCCGACCCGGCCCGAATCCATGCCTAGTTCTTGGATAGGGGTGGACCGGGGTCGGTCTGGTTCCGGACCGAGACTGCCCAGTCCTAGCAAATTTTTGATGCATCTCGGGATTGACTTGTAATTTTCCGGGGTTGGGCCGGTTCTGGGTACCCGGTTGGTCTGGCCCGATCTTGGTCCCAGACCCGTTATAATTTTTATTTTATTTTACCTGGTTTTAAGCTTAAAAAAATGGCCGAGACCGGAATTGCCAGGTTCGCTCCCCATATCTGTGATATGGGAGGATCGAGATCACGACCGGGTAACACTATTGGGCAGACAGGGCTAGTCCTAGGCACTAAACTGAAAATGGACTTGGTTCATCCCCAAATATATTTGGAATCGGTTCCGGACTGAACTAGATTGTTTTTGGATCCACCCCTAGTCTTGGATGGTAGTAGTCAATCCCATCAATGTTTCTTTGAGGAAAGGAATTCATTAAGATCTTTCACTTGGTAAATGTGTCAAACTTGATTTGGGTTTGTGATTGAGAATTTTTTTAACTACTCCCAAGTACGGATGGACTGGGCCCGGGTCCAGGTCCGGGTCGGGCCTTGGGCGGTACTGGATTTGGGAATTGGAGGCTCGGTACCGACCCGGGTAGTTTCAGGACGGGCCCAGGTCGGATCGGGTCGGTACAATTTTTTTTTTGTTTTTTTTTAATTTTGTTTTTCTTATTTATTCCTACCCCCACACACCCCCAAACCACCCAGCCCAACCCGTCTACCACCCAATCCATTCTAAAAAAATTAAAAAAGAATAACTGGACCGGTCGTGGACCGGCTGGTCCGGTTCCAAAAGAAGTGAAGCCCGTGACTGTGACACTCCCAAATTTTCCACCCAAAATAATACTTTGAAATAGAGATGAACTTTTATTTAATGATTAAAACTTCAAAAGTTGCAGCGGAAATTAATAAAAACTAAGTAAAGGGGCATGTCACCGCCACATCCAATCCGTGAATGATTGGATGCTAAGGCTATCTACCAAAACACGAGTTTAACAAAATCAAGATGTTCGAATCATAAGTAAATATTAAAGTTTATTTCTAGTGAACTACATAATTGTCTTCTAATTCGCGCTCTCAAACATTGCAGCATCAAAATCAACATGATCACCTCCTGTTAAATACAAGCACAAGAAAAATAAAAGAAAACAACCATTAGCAATAATGCTAAGTAAGTTCCACCTAACCTTTTAAAATAATAATAAATAATATATATAAAATTCGTACAACCTCATAAAATATTTTTCAACACTTTATAAACCATAAATCATAAGTAAACGATATCTATATAAAATCCCAATCACATAATTAACTCGTAACCCATAATAACTCCAAAATACATGAAACACCAAAATTCTCATCTTTTGAATTTCTCCCAAAATCACTTTGTATCTAACTTCCTAGTAATTTAGAAGGGCGGTGCTCAACACTTTGGTTGAGCCCGGTGGTCCGTTGTTATATACGGCCACCCCGGAACTATCGCTGGTACCACAACTGCTCCTTGGAAACGGAAACAACTACTTTAAGTGTGCACACCCCCTAAAGGTATTCCAAGCCCTCCGGGTTAGTAAGTCGATCCGGGTAGTCGGGATGTTTTCTACCAACTACCCCACCTCAAAACCTGAATGATTAGGAGCTACTACTACCATTACTACTCAAAAGCCGGGATGTTTTCTACCGACCGTCAATTCACCTCAAACCAAAACCACAAAAATTGAGTAGTAGTAGACCTAACCATCCTCCACATTTTAAGGGACGTGGAAAACCAACACCACGGATTTCTCCCGTGATGCTCACCTTTTATGAAAATATTTATTTTTCTCTAAATCAATCGAAGTTTATACTTCAAAAATTCCCTTTTTATCAAACTCCCACAAAGATAACAAATTACGTACTATTACAAAATATCCCAAAATCGTATACAATAATTCATATCAACAAAACAGTATATCAACTAATATCTCAAATACAACCCTTTCATATAATAATATTCACTCAAATTCAGCACACATAAATTCAATTCTCAAATATGCACACAAAAATATGTAAAAGAAATCACGAAGAAAAAGAACTAATATCGGTTGACGTGAAACTTACCTTAAGTCCCGATGCTCCTAATTCTCTTCTTCAGTTCCGGTCTCTAAATATTCACATTTTTAATTAATTAAGATGATATAATTAGTCACTTATTCTATTTGTAATTATTTTACCCGATTTTCCCCCTTTTATTTTATTATTCGCATATACTAATATTATTAATTAATTATACGAGTTTATTTTATTAATCAATCCACTTCTAACTTTCTATTTTATTTTACTGATTCTCTATTATAGAGGGTTCGACTTTATCTACTCATATAAAAGTTCCAATTAGATTTTACTTATCAATAATCCATTAATAAAGAATAAATTATCCGGTTATTAATAGCTTACGCAAACACTTAATATTTCCGAGTCGGTATTTATGTTAACTTATTAATCTACTTCAATTATTCCAATAATTAGTGAAAATAATATCTATCCAATTTTTTTTTCTACTCATGTTACTAAACCCAAATAACCAATTATTATTTTAATAAAATATTCGTTTTATCAGTTTTTATTAATTAAACCATCAATTCCTTTTTATTATTTAACATTATGTAATTATGTCAAGTAAAAATTAACAAATTTATCCAAGTGATTACTATCATTTAATCAAGCCAAATTCAGCATTAATATTTTTCACCTCCATTTATTAGTTTTGCAGATTATTATTATTATTATTATTATTATTATTATTATTATTATTATTATTATTATACTAAGAGTTCATCCAGCCCCAAAATAATAAAATCTACCGTCCCAATTAATAATAAAAAGAAAATAGAGCAGGCCTACATGAAGGAAGTTCGGCCCAGGAAAAAAAACACAGAAGACAACCGTCTTCTTCCTTGCGACGCCGGCAATGGCCAAAAGCGGTGGGAAAGGTTACCTCGACGGACGAGTGAAACGGCGGTACTATCGGCTCCTTCTGGGACGGCGGTGGTCGGTGATGGACTGGCGGCGCTGGCGGTTCCTTCTTCTTCTCCGTTTTCCGTCGTTACGGTTAGCCCGGCGAAACTCCGGCAAGCGATATCTCTCTCGTTTCACGACCGTTTTCTACGATTCTTTCACCTTTGTATTCCTCTCTCGAAGGGGAAGGTTTTTAAAGTGTTTTCAGAGCTCAGTTTTTAGTAAAACGAATGGACGAATTTTGGTGTATATATATACACTACGTATATAAATATGTATATATATGTGCGTAGATATATACCAATGACCGATCGTTATTTTTTTTTTTGGGGGGGGGGGGGGGGATGAGAAGAACGCAGGCTTGGTCTGGTATTTATACTGATGGGTAGAGAGTTCTAGGTTGCACTTCGGTTGCTAGCGATCCACTTTTATTGGTCTTATCGGCTAAATTCGAAGTTGACTATCACATAAGAGTTTTTGCTAGCGCAGGTCTCCTCTATTTATGCAGTTCGAGCGTATTTTATGTGTAAACCTGACCTGATACGTTCAAATATGGAGTCTATGACGGGTCACAGTTGATTTGTAATTCTTCTTAGTAGAATTTACATTTTAGTTTACGTAGTCTACCCATTGTATTCCATGTAATGTATTGCTATGCTATGAGAATTTTATTTTAATATTATTGCACGTAACTACTTAAGTATATATTAGTATTTAGAAAGTCAAGCTTGTATTTTTGTGTAATTTTACACACAAAAATAACTTTTATTACTTATGCCATATATATAACTGGTACTTGATATAAAACGTTACTTCTATTATCGGACTATTTTTATCAGACTAACCATTTTACGAATGTTAAATTTTTGTCTGGTTCACTTATATAAAATATAAATGTTATTTTAATATTTTATATGACATAAAATTATTTATTTTATTTTGTTTAAATTTTTAGAGTGTCACATTCTACCCTCCTTAAAAGATGTTTCGTCCCGAAACATTAACTAAAATCAAATGACAAAATTTTCAAGTATTACATTCTACCCCCCTTAAAGAGAGGTTACGTCCTCGTAACTAAAATTTTATCTTAATCAAATAACTCTGGGTAGCGTTTGCGCATATCCTCCTCAGTCTCCAGGTGGCATTTTCGGCCAAGAGGTTACACCATAATACCTTCACCATCTTAACCGCTTTTCTTCTAGTCTCACGAGTCTCTTAAATACTAAGGCATTCAAAAAGTCCCTACACTATTTGAACCGCAAAGTTCTTCACTAGGTCCATACTAAGTTCTAACACATATAGACATTCAAAGGTGTCATCAAAATTCATATATTTCACACGAGCAAGCAACCACATAAATTTCACTACTCAATCATATAAATCAATAACTTGAAAATCTCACATTATATCCTCACCGCGTTCCTAACAGATCTTTTCCTAATAATTTTAATTTCCTAGTTTTTTTTTTAGAAATATTTTCAAAAATGGTTTAGAAATCTTTTTCGAAAAACGTTTTTGAAATATCCCGAGAAAAAGTTTTGGGCTCTGATACCAACTTGTGACACCCCAAATTTTCCACCCAAAATAATACTTTGAAATAGAGATGAACTTTTATTTAATGATTAAAACTTCAAAAGTTGCAGCGGAAATTAATAAAAACTAAGTAAAGGGGCATGTCACCGCCACATCCAATCCGTGAATGATTGGATGCTAAGGCTATCTACCAAAACACGAGTTTAACAAAATCAAGATGTTCGAATCATAAGTAAATATTAAAGTTTATTTCTAGTGAACTACATAATTGTCTTCTAATTCGCGCTCTCAAACATTGCAGCATCAAAATCAACATGATCACCTCCTGTTAAATACGAGCACAAGAAAAATAAAAGAAAACAACCATTAGCAATAATGCTAAGTAAGTTCCACCTAACCTTTTAAAATAATAATAAATAATATATATAAAATTCGTACAACCTCATAAAATATTTTTCAACACTTTATAAATCATAAATCATAAGTAAACGATATCTATATAAAATCCCAATCACATAATTAACTCGTAACCCATAATAACTCCAAAATACATGAAACATCAAAATTCTCATCTTTTGAATTTCTCCCAAAATCACTTTGTATCTAACTTCCTAGTAATTTAGAAGGGCGGTGCTCAACACTTTGGTTGAGCCCGGTGGTCCGTTGTTATATACGGCCACCCCGGAACTATCGCCGGTACCACAACTGCTCCTTGGAAACGGAAACAACTACTTTAAGTGTGCACACCCCCTAAAGGTATTCCAAGCCCTCCGGGTTAGTAAGTCGATCCGGGTAGCCGAGATGTTTTCTACCAACTACCCCACCTCAAAACCTGAATGATTAGGAGCTACTACTACCATTACTACTCAAAAGTCGGGATGTTTTCTACCGACCGTCAATTCACCTCAAACCAAAACCACAAAAATTGAGTAGTAGTAGACCTAACCATCCTCCACATTTTAAGGGACGTGGAAAACCAACACCACGGATTTCTCCCGTGATGCTCACCTTTTATGAAAATATTTATTTTTCTCTAAATCAATCGAAGTTTATACTTCAAAAATTCCCTTTTTATCAAACTCCCACAAAGATAACAAATTACGTACTATTACAAAATATCCCAAAATCGTATACAATAATTCATATCAACAAAACAGTATATCAACTAATATCTCAAATACAACCCTTTCATATAATAATATTCACTCAAATTCAGCACACATAAATTCAATTCTCAAATATGCACACAAAAATATGTAAAAGAAATCACGAAGAAAAAGAACTAATATCGGTTGACGTGAAACTTACCTTAAGTCCCGATGCTCCTAATTCTCTTCTTCAGTTCCGGTCTCTAAATATTCACCTTTTTAATTAATTAAGATGATATAATTAGTCACTTATTCTATTTGTAATTATTTTACCCGATTTCCCCCCTTTTATTTTATTATTCGCATATACTAATATTATTAATTAATTATACGAGTTTATTTTATTAATCAATCCACTTCTAACTTTCTATTTTATTTTACTGATTCTCTATTATAGAGGGTTCGACTTTATCTACTCATATAAAAGTTCCAATTAGATTTTACTTATCAATAATCCATTAATAAAGAATAAATTATCCGGTTATTAATAGCTTACGCAAACATTTAATATTTCCGAGTCGGTATTTATGTTAACTTATTAATCTACTTCAATTATTCCAATAATTAGTGAAAATAATATCTATCCAATTTTTTGTTTCTACTCATGTTACTAAACCCAAATAACTAATTATTATTTTAATAAAATATTCGTTTTATCAGTTTTTATTAATTAAACCATCAATTCCTTTTTATTATTTAACATTATGTAATTATGTCAAGTAAAAATTAACAAATTTATCCAAGTGATTACTATCATTTAATCAAGCCAAATTCAGCATTAATATTTTTCACCTCCATTTATTAGTTTTGCAGATTATTATTATTATTATTATTATTATTATATTATTATTATACTAAGAGTTCATCCAGCCCCAAAATAATAAAATCTACCGTCCCAATTAATAATAAAAAGAAAATAGAGCAGGCCTACATGAAGGAAGTTCGGCCCAGGAAAAAAAACACAGAAGACAACCGTCTTCTTCCTTGCGACGCCGGCAATGGCCAAAAGCGGGGGGAAAGGTTACCTCGACGGACGAGTGAAACGGCGGTGCTATCGGCTCCTTCTGGGACGGCGGTGGTCAGTGATGGACTGGCGGCGCTGGCGGTTCCTTCTTCTTCTCCGTTTTCCGTCGTTACGGTTAGCCCGGCGAAACTCCGGCAAGCGATATCTCTCTCGTTTCACGACCGTTTTCTACGATTCTTTCACCTTTGTATTCCTCTCTCGAAGGGGAAGGTTTTTAAAGTGTTTTCAGAGCTCAGTTTTTAGTAAAACGAATGGACGAATTTTGGTGTATATATATACACTACGTATATAAATATGTATATATATGTGCGTAGATATATACCAATGACCGATCGTTATTTTTTTTGGGGGGGGGGGGAGGGGGGGGATGAGAAGAACGCAGGCTTGGTCTGGTATTTATACTGATGGGTAGAGAGTTCTAGGTTGCACTTCGGTTGCTAGCGATCCACTTTTATTGGTCTTATCGGCTAAATTCGAAGTTGACTATCACATAAGAGTTTTTGCTAGCGCAGGTCTCCTCTATTTATGCAGTTCGAGCGTATTTTATGTGTAAACCTGACCTGATACGTTCAAATATGGAGTCTATGACGGGTCACAGTTGGTTTGTAATTCTTCTTAGTAGAATTTACATTTTAGTTTACGTAGTCTACCCATTGTATTCCATGTAATGTATTGCTATGCTATGAGAATTTTATTTTAATATTATTGCACATAACTACTTAAGTATATATTAGTATTTAGAAAGTCAAGCTTTTATTTTTGTGTAATTTTACACACAAAAATAACTTTTATTACTTATGCCATATATATAACTGGTACTTGATATAAAACGTTACTTCTATTATCGGATCATTTTTATCAGACTAACCATTTTACGAATGTTAAATTTTTGTCTGGTTCACTTATATAAAATATAAATGTTATTTTAATATTTTATATGACATAAAATTATTTATTTTATTTTGTTTAAATTTTTAGAGTGTCACAGTGACCCGCCCCAAAACCCCCCAGTTCGGGCCCAAGGCCAAGTCTCGGTCAACCGGGCCGGGCCGGTACCACACAGTGGCGGTCCGATTCCGGTACTGGGCCGGTCTGACCGGTCCCAGTCCATCCCTACTCCCAAGTCCCATTCATGGTCCGTCCTAAGAAATTGAGGGCCTTGTGCAACAAAATAATATGAGCCTTTCTAATACTCCCTCCTTATTTAAAAAATCATTCCATTAGGTCTTGACCCAATATTTAAAGAGGAAATAGTAGGGGTAATAAATATTGTAGAAAAAGTAGGAGAGAAGATAAAAAGTAAAAAAATAAGGGTAGATGAGTATTTTTAAAGGAAAAACATACCCAAAAAGAAAGTGTAGCAACTTTTAAATATATCTCAAACAGGAAAGTGTAGCAAGCTTTTAAATATGAAGGGAGTATTAGAAAGATTAATAACACATGTAATGATATATTTTTTATTAACTAGTAAAATTAGTTAAAAGAGATCCAAAAAACATCACATATAAAACCTTATTAACTTTACGTGTCATTAACCAAATATATTTAAATTAAAAGAGACATTCTTCTAGCATATATAGATGTAAATTCATTTACCAAACTTTCAATGTAAACTATTTGGGGTATTTTAGTGATCTCAATTGAAAATTAGAACAACTAAAATCCTAAAGTAGAATAAAGTAAAGAAAAAATATGTGTTTGTGATTAGTTGAGAAGAGAAAGAAATAATAGGAACCACAAATTATTTGATAAAATGAAAATGTCAATGTTTTTGGGACAATCAACAAAGGAAAAAATGACATTTATAAAGGACGGATGGAGTACTATTAATATGTTTGGGCCTTCTATTTGATGGGCTCTGTGCGAATGGGAACCTTAGACTCCCTTTGGGCCGGCCCTGCTCCCATTAGAAATTACTAGGGTTGAATTAAGTCTGATGTTGAACTAGGCCGACTTGTTTCTTGGTCTTGGGTAAAAAAAATACATCTACTCGTATCACAGTTTGAAACATCATGGAATTGGACTCTGTCAATCGCAAGCATGAAACAAATCTGCAAGCATTAACAAGTTGAGTACATGTGGTTCCTATTTGGCTTGAAGAGAAATACTAGCCAAATACATGAAAATAAGATAGGTAAAAACTACAAAGTATTTAAGACAAATAGTGATTATTTGGGGCTAAGCTCATACATCTAAGAATATGCGCTAACATCTTGTGATGACACTCACATTTCAAACTTTCATTGTCCTTATGATTGCTTTTTATATGAAAACATTAACTTTGTGATGTCATTCACATTTCAATCAAGTCAATTCCATCTAATAGTACTTTTAAGGTTTGCACCCCAAATTTGAAGCCCTTATATGCCATTGCTTTAGAATGTTGGATGGATATTCAAACCTCGTGTCTCTGCAAAAATTGAGTTGTTTACAATGATATAAAAATTCTAGAAATTCAACAATAGGTCACGTACTAGCATGGGGCTTGGTATTATTATTTGAAGGGTTGATCCCATGTGAACTTTGGGAGGAGGGGGAGGAACATTTTGGGTACTAGGTGTATGCGATAGCATCAAACCCGCACGCTAATTGTGAACAACAATTGTGAGCAAGTTAAACACTTAAAACGTTGGATGAGCAAACTATGTGTATGCGGCGTTCCTCGGAACCCACTGTTCACACATTCGGATCGGAGCAAACAAAGTTTTCATGCATGATTAACTTACACCATAATGCTGAGGAGTAGTGCACACGCGCTCCCGCACACACACACATTACTACTCTACTTGATAATAAAATTGAATAATAAACTCGAATGCAGTAATTACTATAAATTTGTAATTGCAAATATTTCTGAAACATTTATGTACTGAACCTTTTCATTTAAAAGTCACTATTGCCAATGAGCCACAACCAGTCAAGAGCCGCACCAGAAAACACACCAGTAAGAAGGCATGACACTAGCATGTTACCCAATGCATTTGCCTCTAGTCCCTATATTCAAAAAGAAAAAAGACCATGATTGAAAGAATTGGACAAATTTAATTTCATGTTGAAATAACACAATGGCTTAGGAGGCTGCAGGTTCATGTATATAACATATTTATCCGGAACAACAGGCTAGTACGAACAAACCTCGTAGCCTTTGGTGGCTGCAGTGAGGACAGAGACGGTGAGATAACCGTTTGTGAGTCCGAGGATTGACACTAGCATGATCATCCACCCCTGATCACCGTACCTAGCGGTGAAGTAGAAACACGGTACTAACAAGAACCGAGATAGCGTCGCTATCATCAACCCCTTCCTGGATTTCAATGTCATTCTGTTAACAAGTGGGATGTATCTTGATATGAGATCCCAAACATTGAACACCGCTACTAGAACGTTAGGATACCTACAATAAGATGTTTTTATATTTAATCAAATGTCCATGGCTTAACATGTCGGATAAACTAGAGGATCATTGGAGACAATCTTGAACTTTATCATATTTGAATTGTTCGTTCATGCTTAATTAATGATACTAAACAGCGTTTTCACTATCCAAAAAAGGTATCTGACTGTGGAGATGTCTTGCCAAGGAGAGATAAAAAAGAATCATGATTACCATGAACCGAGATTGTGGGACCCAGTGTTCTCATATAAAAATCCAGGAAAAATGGACAAGGTTAGAGCATATATGAGGTAGAGGTCCAAAGCATAATCTATGTTCTGTTTGAACAATTCCTTCTTGCTCATCCTATCATACTGGGTTACCATCATCACATTCAGATTTAATATTAGTTTGAGCAATTGAACATATATGGACAAAAAAAGAAATAAGGTAAAGGGAAATGTTGTGTACTGTTATTTCACTTGGCGATCCCTCTAAAGCCGCGGCCTTTGAGCGATGGTATTTCACTATTGGTAATTTTGGGAAAATGAATGCGTACAGTATAAAGCACAATAACTCCAACAATGTGGTAATTGTCAGAAACAAAACTGCAAAATTAAGGCCACAATTAACTACTCCCCAATGTTGGATGAACACATTTGCTAATGGAATAAAATAGCTAATAGAGAAATGAATACCACAAGAAAATAAATTTTACACATCCATAATTTTGTATGTTTATATTATGCACATATACATGTTCATAAAAGTTTGAGCAAAATGACGATGATTGGTTTGTGATCCATTGCCCAACATAAAGTATGCTTCCAACTTATGAAAGTAGTAATGGTTGTAGTTGTGAAGTTTAAAGTAGCACATACTAACTCCCTTCCTAAGATTAAGAGAGGAGAGTTCAAATGCAACTTTTGTCACCAGCCTAAGTCCAGAAGTGAGAGCACCTGAGGCAGCTATTCCAGCAAAGAAGGACTATAGCACAAATTCATAAAACAAAGTAAAATAAATAAGCTCAACTCCGTATTATGTATGTATAACACAATCACAACAATATATATATATATATATATATATATATATATATATATATATATATATATATATATATATATATATATATATATATATATATATATATATATATATAGGGAGAGGTTTCGGTAAGAACGGATCTTAGGAGAGAAATGAGAACGAATCTGGACCGTTGGATTGAATTATGTGGAACTGAATTGTGCATTTGGTGAAACCGAAATGTGCATCAGATGATATTGAAATGTGCAGAATTAAAATTTAAACTCACATGTGCATTAGTTGAAACTGAAATGTGCAGAATAAAAGGTACAAAAATAACATCACATCGTACCTTTTATTCTGCACATTTTAGTTTCATCTAGTGCACATTTCAAATTCACCTAATGCACAATTTAGCTTCACATAATGCCACTACGTTGTACCATTTGTGCTGCACATTTCAATTTCACCTAATACACATTAAAACTTCATCTAATGCACATTGAATTTCACATAAAGCAAATCTAACGGTCCAGATTCATTCTCATTTTTCTCATAAGATCATGTTCTTATTTGAACCAAAACCTATAAATATGGATGAGATTGAAAGCATACGTACTTGGATGAGTTTTGGGGACATGGATGAGATTTCTCCGACAATACCACCTTCTACATGGGCACTAGCCACTCCAAAAGAAGCAACAACGATACAAATGCCTATGTAGACTCCGAGCCCCCCCTTCCCCGATGTTGCAAAATCTATCTGCTCGAGTTAGAAATGTCCTTCATTTAAGAAATGCGAAATTTTCATTCTAATGTTCCACAATTAAAGTGTTGATGTGTGAGTGAGAAGTCACGAGTTCAAATCTTGGGAGTGACCTCTTGTTAAAATTTAGTAGAGGAAGACATTTTCTATTTTTACTCATTGCAAAAGTGTTGCTTGAATTGAATGTTGATGATTAAGTAAGGGGTAAACTTGGAAATACAAAAAATGAATGCACACCTTTTGAACAAGCTAGACTATCTTTGTGGGGCGGAAGTAGTATATTTTGGCATCTCCAGACAAGTTTTAGTGTTTTTTTTGTTATTTTACTTGTTTTTCATTTAAGGAGCACTTTAAGGTATTGGGATTTGTAGGGAACATTGTAACCACTATTATGCTATGTGCTATACTCTGTGCTCCTTATACACTCTTATAGTGGGACCTTTCTCCGAACACTCACCTTGCGGCGCATCGAGCTGCCCTTTTTTCTTAATGTTCCACAATTAGCTTTTATTTGTGCACATTGCGCTTATAAGAGTCATGAGACCACAGATCTAATACACTACATTCAGCCTCACATCTCAAATGAAGACCTTTTCCTAAATGATCCAAACTTTATAAGTATTTATACATGAGATAAGGGACATTATGCTTAATAATTACAGTCACATTAACGACTTGTTAATATAAAACACTTTTTTTTAATTGAAATCCTAATTTTTATTATTTGAAAGGAATTGAAATCCTAATTAAGAAATCATTGGTTTACAAAATTGAAATCCTAATTTTTAATATATGTTTTTGAAATGGCTAAACAAAAAGGAGGTTTACAAAAAGCTTAAGAAATCATTGGTTTACAAAATGAGACAGTGTTTAAAAATTTATTTAGGAAGGAAGCAACAGTCATATATAAAGATAAAAAGAAGGCAGGCAGGCAGGCAGGCAATTGAAGTGGAAATACCAGTAGGAGTGAAGATGTTCCTAAAGTGAATAAGAGATATCCAGCCAAGTTCCGCTTCCTCCTATCAATCTCTTCACTTTTATAAGACAATATTGCAATTGTTGCAATGGAGAAGGGTTGGTACACAAGGGCAAGCACTCTTGAAGGGTGGTACTTCTGATCCAATTCACACCAACAAAACAACAACAATAATACTTAAGGTAATACTGATAATATTAATACAACTTATTTTGTAGAAAATTTCTTTTGATCGATTACTTAACCCAAATTAATTTTGTTTTACTGTCCATATTTTGTCCCTCGTTTTAGTGATGGGCATGTGTACTACTAGTGTGAAATAATTCTTCCATTCTGTACCTACGAGTCCAATTGTAACTTATGTCATGTCCACATCTAATCCCATACTTAGACCGTGTATATATATATATATATATATATATATATATATATATATATATATATATATATATAAACTATTATTGGTCCCGACAAATAAAACATCAATTTCATTAGTCTCAGTCAATGTTCTAAAAGGCGTTAGGTGCTAGTCGGATGCCAGCACAGCGCCTAGCGCCTAGGTGGCAAAGCAAGCGTCTAGGCGGGACTAATCGGAGACATAAAAGTATAGTTTTAACAATGTTTTTTCATAAATATGATTAATATGTAACGTTATGTTTGTGTGTGTATACAAAATACACGCACACATTAAATGCATGAATGATAGAGTTGTTACATACATACATTTAATAATGTATTATACATACTTACTTAACTTCAATTCATTATATAATAAATATTAATATATAATAATACTCCCTATTGCATGTTTGTGTGTGTAAAGTTTCATGATAGAGTAGTAACATTTAAAATTATATACAAACATCTATAATTTTATCTAATCTACAACTAGTAGTTTTCCTCATGTGTTGTTAAACTTAAAGGTAACATGATATATCTCTTAGAAAATTAAAGAGAAAATTCCCGAAATAGGACTAAAACAAGGATAAAGTTCATAATACTCTATTATCATTATTTTATTCCCAAAACAGAACTATGCACTCATTGTTTGGGAAATTTTCATCAACTTACTCTTTGTATATGTTTTAGTCCTATATTGAGTAATTTCTAAAAGCTAATATATAAAAGCAAAAAAAAGTTTGGCGAAACTAGGCACCCTAGGCGGCTGATTAAGCGCTCTGGGCAGGCATTTAGGCGTCCTAGGCGGTCGACTAATTCACCTAGGTGCCAAACCAATTAGTCGGGCCGCCTAGACTAAAATCGGGGTACCCGACCACTGCCTAGTGCCTAGGCGGGGACTAGTCAGACGTCTAGAGCGATTTTTAGAATAATGTCTCAGTAATGGTTCACATTTATCAATGTTTAACGGGATTAACTATGAGAAATTTTTTCAAGTACAGAAACATGAAAACGTCGATTAGTTATTTACGCACATCAATCTTTACAAAAAGGCTTAATTTTTTTTTATCCCGGAAGGCAAAAAAAAAAACAAAAAGACTTAAATTGAATAGTCTAAAATGTGACTTATTATTATATTGATACACTTCAATTTTATCGGATTAAAAGTAGAAATTTACTGGCCATGAATACAGTCAGGGGATGATTTTTCTTATAACAATTACTCCCTCCGTCCCCCTATAATTGTCCCATTTTTTTCATTTTTGGATGTCCCTTTATTATTGTCTCATACCATATTTGGTAACATTTGTGTGACTCTAATTCATTCTTACTCTATTTCCACTTTATTAACTCATTACCAACCACATAATTCTACTTTTCTTAAAAACCACACCACTCCCTTCCGTACCAATATTAGGGGGACGGAGGGAGTATTATCAATTTTGAGAGGGAATTGAAAAAAGGATATACTTCTTATATACTATCCTCCTTTCTTTAATAGTGGTAACAATTTGACTTTCACGTTTGCCAACGCACAACTTTGACTGTAATTATATTTAATTACGTATTAGTAAACATTAAAAAAAGTTAATGTTTTGAAAATTTACATTAATAGAAATTTAATAACATTTTATACATAATAATTTGATTATATATACTATTAGAAAATTGTAGTCAAAGTAAAGTGTGTGAATGATGCAAAAATGGTAATGTTGTAACTTTTAAACAAGTATATCGGAGTGAGTGCACTGTGCACGTACGTACAGGAAAGAGTTGATAATAATAGTCTCCGATAGTGAGCATGCAGTTCCATGCCAGAAGATTTCCAAGTCCAAGAATCCAACAAACTATCATTCCGCCCTATATATATTTATTTTCAAAATTAAAAGCATACTACATACTATACTAGTAGTATATATTATTTTCAACAATATAATTAATTATATATATATATATATATATATATATATATATATATATATATATATATATATATATATATATACCATAGTATATATATACGAAGTACATAGCAAAACTTGACAAAACCAACCTTAAGCCTAGTTGGGTTTACGCCTGCAGCTTCATCCATGGCAATATCCATGCCTGCTTTATTTGTTTTTTTGCTACAACACACCAAAACGACTCCAACATATATATATATATAGAGAGAGAGAGAAAGTTAGAGTGAAGACTAGCTAGCTAGCTAATTAAAGGGCCAAATGGGTCCGATAAATAATAATGCTTCTTAAGTTGTACTTGTGGTCACCCTAGTGACAATATTGATGTTGTGTGAATTAATTTTTCGTTCGAACGAAATAATAAAACAAATAAATTAGTGTTGCGGTCATGTTGTTGGCGATTGGAATATATATATATATATATATATATATATATATATATATATATATAACTTTCTTCACAAATAAAAAAAGAAATTAGAAGGTAAAAGTGACTATTGGTTTTCATATAATTGTGAGTTGTAACCAGTAGCTATAGGCCAAGTAATAGAGACAAAATGTTGCAACATACTATGGTAGGTACATGCATAAGAATCCAAATTGGGGATGCGTAAGCTTTTATAGAATAGAACTATTATAGGATCCATTAATAAAATCCACCAATGAGGACCCTCGCAGGATGTTGCCTAACCTTTTATATTAGTGATTAGTAAGTTGTTGTACCATGGGTGCAGTCTATGATGAGAATCGATCATATCTCACATCTAAAACAACATCCAATATTCATCTATTTGTCACAATTTTTGGGTGGTGTAACACATATTGCTGTAAAATGTAATCTCCGTTAGCGATAAATGTAACTCGCGCACCGAAATGTAACTCACTTTAGAACTCCTTTCAATGGTTATTTGAGCTTTCACCTTTCATATATAAAATATAAATCACGTGTACCCAAAATGTAACTTCATAAAAGTCGAAATGTAGATCGCGTGCATGCAAAATATAACTTGTTAAGACAAGGTAGAAATGTAAACCAAGTTACTTGAAATGTAACATGAAACAAGTTGAAATGTAAATAATGTTAATATAAATATAACTGTTTGACACTGTTTGGCACTGTTTGACACTGTTTTGATGTAGATTAACTTGTCATTTAAGGAAATGAGAACTTGTTTCTGGAACATCCAAAAAAGAAAAGTGGGAAGTTCATTGCGGGACAGAGGGAGTAGTATTTTTATTTTTTAATGACCTAATTAAGCGTTCGTATTTGGGTTCTCATATGATACCGCATTCTTTGTACCACCGGCCATCCAAAACTTTTAGAGAAGCAAATTAGGATTTTGATCACAAACAATTATCTGTCGTTCAATAAGACTTACATCACATGTTACCAAATTGTTGCTCTATTTGGTATCTTCAAGCTCACTACCTCCATGTTGAACGTATTGCTCTGTGAGTTAATTAATCAAACTCATAAAGAGCAAGACGTTGCTCATTTCCTTTGGTATATTAAATCATAAAGAAGAAACTTGGGGTAGGTGACCAATGTTAACCTACAACCTCCAACCCCTTGATCAATGTTAACCTCTCTTTCCCTAATTCCAGTTTCCTCGTACGCACATGCGCTTCATCTCCGACCTTCACCATCAGCATCACCACAGAGAGCAAGTTTCCTCCATTGATGCAGTTTGACAACTCGCCGCTCGCACCGAGATGGCTCGCACCGAGATGGCTCGCCGCTCACCAGTCACCACTCGCACCCTGACAGGCGGCCCGCTACTCGCACCCATACAGACGGTTCATTGTTCGCACTCAGACGATCAGATGCTCATCTCACGCTAAATGCTCCTACTCGCGGCTTGCTAACTCCTCTTAGCCGACGAAACTCACACCTCCACCTCAAGTCAGATTGGAGCTCACGACGATTAGATTGAAGTTTGCTCACATAGTCTCAATGCTCACTAATTTTGTTACGCATCAAGTTTTTGATGCTCAATGCAAAGTTCCAATGGTCAATGGAGATGTTTGATCATATAGTCTCAAATTCTCAATGCTCAATAGTTTAGAACACGATACTCAATGAATATGTTTTGATACTCAATGCATAGTTCCAATGATCAGCAAAAATGTCTTATATCTGAGTTTACGATTTACATATCAATGCATATTTCAAAAGTACAATATTAAATTAGATCCACATACTGGTATTCAAAAGATTATAAGGGCTGATTGTAGATTTAAGTTGAGAGTTTTTTTAAAAGAAAAATAAGAAAAAAATGAATAAGATGATACGAAGCAGAGATCACAATGATCAATATTAGACTTCTAATACTCACTAAAATAGGCTTGATGCGCAACAAAATTAGTGAGGGAGTTTGAGCACAATTTACCCCCCCCCCCCCCCCCCCCCCCTCCCCCCCCGATGAAAATATAATAACATAATCCACTATTTTCACCTAAAATCACATAATAACAGTACCAAAGAGACTATTCATCAATAAAGAGAACTCATAATTACTAATTTACTATGAAATGAGTCATAACATTTTTAATTAATGAACATGAGATATCCAAACACAAATTTAATAATTGTCCAAACTACATATTTCTAACTGGAGGCAAAGATGGACTGCCTACAAATTATGAATCTCCCAATGACTCTTCTTATAATAAAACCATGGTTGCATCTATGCTAAAAAGGGTAGAAGGGAAGGGCCTAAAGGAATGCAGCAGAGTAACCCTCATGTTAATACTTCAAACATCTTTTAATATGGGTTTCGTGTGTAGTTGTAATTATTTAGGGAGTGGAATCTCTGTTTTTGGAAAGGTATGCCGCCTTTCCTGGATCATTATGTACTCGTTTCTTTTAATAAAAATTCATCTGATTAAAAAAAAAGACAAATAAAATTTTGCCTTTTGAATAACAAAAAAAAGAGAGTGGAATCCCTAGCTGGACTCTACTTTCTGATTTGTTCATGACCATTAGACACTACACATCAACACTTTATGGCCTCGAACAACTCTTTTTGACCCATTCCTCCCTACCTTTTTTCATGATGTCCATCTGTAACACTTTTATGGTTCTCTTCAATACTTTTTTATAGCGGAGAAAATCTGTTTAGTTACATAAAGTTTCACCCTTTCTAAATTCTTTACAGTGTTTCTCTTGGTTACTTTAGCCCAAAATTTCCATCCTTTGGTAATTTACACTTTTATGGTTCTCTTCAATACTTTTTTATAGCGAAAAAATCTGTTTAGTTACATAAAGCTTCACCCTTTCTAAATTCTTTACAGTGTTTCTCTTAGTTACTTTAGCCCAAAATTTCCATCCTTGTGTAAAAAATAATCACAAATTAATAATTTAATATACTCACGTTGAGCATCACCCATATTTCCACCCTAAAATATGGGTTAACTATTCCGTCTATATGTGTTTGCATTTTTAAAACAAAAAAAAAATAAAGATTGCTGAATTCATTTGTTCAAACAAATCCTCAATCCTAATCCACATTTCTAAACCAAATGAAACAAAACAATTCCAGTAATAGGGTTTAGGAATGGTGAGAAGTGTATATAGACTTATATCTAGCCGTACAAATAGAGACACTACCTCCAGCGAGGCCACCTAAGTTCTTGGAAGCTTTGGAAAAGCATGCAACTTTTGAAAATTTTAAAATATTTAATCGGCTTTTCTAAACAATACCCAATTAATGAAAGGAAAGCTGTGCAATTATTCTACATGTATCCTTTGGTTATTGTCTCTTCTAACTCTTGAAACTCCCATGCATCATTTGCTTTGTATTCTCCTAAAACGAAGGAAACAACCACTATTAGCTCAGAGCAAGAAAATTCTCATAAGTTGGGTAACTATCAATATTGCTTGCATGGGGTCCCTTTCCCGAGTTCCTGGGGGAGGGGTCATTACTCAAATTCCAGGGGTTGTGTAAGAAAACTGGGAACAATGATTCAACAAGAACCTTACCGATTGAATCTCTTCGTAGAGCTGACAAGTGAGCACAGCTGCAAAAAATTGTTTCCCAACTTCATTAGATCAGAACACAATTGCAAAATTTGAGAATCCAAGAAATGCTCAAACTTTCTTGATGGTTTCGTATATAGCTTTACCATTATTAATATTATTAAACAGAAGTAGAACATGTTGAGAGTTGGACTCCATCTTAAGGTTATCCTAATGCGAAGAATAGAACCAGACTTATGTGCTGGCTTGAGAAGACATAATGTAACAAGGTTATTTATTCATAATAATACCTGCCAAGAGCCTTCCCAAAATCGGCACAGAGAGACCGAATATATGTCCCTTTTGAGCATATTACTCGAAAAATCACATTTTGTCTGCAAAGCAATAATGAGATTTCAGATATCACATGTAGATTATATTTCAAAGAGATCCATAGTAAATCTGGTAAAAAATGAAGTGCAGGCAAGAAAAGTTTGACTGCTCTAGAGTCTGTCAGGAATTCTACTTCCAGAAGGGGAGTTGAATTTAGAAAAAAAAATGTTTGTACACACTCTTATAAACACGTCGGTGAACACTTAACAAGCTATTTTTTTCCCTGTGAATAGCATGTTCATAGACAAAACATGTTTTGTCTGTGAACTGGCTATTCACAGACGAAAAAATAGCCTTCACCGATGTGTGTATAAGAGTGTACAAAAAAGTGTGTACAAGAAGCAGGGCTGTACACAAAAGTAGTAGTAGTAGCCTTCACCAATACTTAAAAAGCAGTACAAGAGTTACTTTTTTTCACAAAATTGCTGAAATTAAAGAAAATGGCATTTCTACCTTTATTTTCTTTCATTCATTTTAGAAAGATATTTTAAATACATTTTTAGATAATTTGCAATATTCAGTCAATTCAATCACAACTTCCGTTGATTAGAATCAGCCACATCAATCATTTTTTCCTTGCCAAAATACGCCCTTAGAAGCTAGTAAGTAAATATAATACTCCGTTGTGATTGGAGAAGTAGATTTTTGAGGAACGAAATCCCTTCGCAAAATATAAGAGCACTTGTAGGAAGTTATGTAGTAAAGAGAAAACCAGTTGAAAAACTACTTAGAGATAAAACCATTGACTAACCTGTCCTCCAAACTTCGTTCAACATCAAACTGGAAAATTGATACTCTCCTTGGTGAAAGTTCAATGCTCTCTCCCCTTCTTGCTTTCTCATACATCTTCTCACCACCAACCTATCACATAACAAAGAAATTGGAAGCAATCACACTACAGGAATGATTCATTTACCATTTAAAAGGTTTTGCACAGATGGAAATTGGGAGAAAATTGAAATGGATCCTAATTTGTACACAGTTTTATATATAAAAAAACACAATAGACACATTCAAAAGAACAAGCTCTAATTAACTTAACTTCAACATTGAGTGATATTTTTGAAAAAGAGTTAGGATGTCTACTCTGTATGTTCATATTTATATATCTTCAATGATCTAATCACAAAATTTAACAAAACGCATTAGAGTGATAAAATAATTAAAACTATTATATTATATGGAGCCCTTAGAACCCATTTAATACAGAGTAATTATTATTATAAAAGGAATAAAATTTAAAACGAATAACTATATGCATGGTTTTCATAAAAGGATGAGAAAAAGAAACATGCCAAATTTGATCAATAAAGTCAGAAAAATAAGAACGATTGCTGAACTTACTTTGATGGCAGAGAACATTGGAGGGACTTGCCATATCTCCCCAGAAAAGGATGCAGCAGCTTTCCTTAGATCCTCATTCTTGATGTGGTCCCATGGCTCACGTAGAATAACCTATATAACATACATGGATTATTTGTATATGTTACAAGTCAACCCAAAAAATTTTGGCAACTAATTTGTACTTGCCCTGTTAATTTTGATTTGTTCCACTAGGCTATTCACGGAGATCAGGGAAAACTGTAGGGCGGTGATTCGGTGAATATTGTAGACAAAGAGGGGAGATGAGAATAAAAAAGTTGGAAAAATAGAAAAGAGAAGATGAAAAAAAAGAGTGTTTATGTATTTTGATACATTTGTAATTGCCACAAAATGAGTGGAGCAAGACAGCAAGTAATAAAATATTTTCATAAAAGAAAAGTAGAGCAACTAAAAGTAAACAGAGGGAGTAATGGATTAAGAGCTTGACACATAATAATGTGATAATCATGAAGTTTATCCGTCTATAGCAATATCATCTTGGCCCTTTTACAGATATTCAAAGAACAGCATAGACGAATTAAAAAAAATAATACCATCAGATTAATATTTTTGGTTTTAGCATGTTTTATATTTTTTATGAAACAATAAGAGGACAATCAATATAAAAGGAATATAGGACATTAGCATTGACCATCAATTTTATTTGTTAATGACATCTTGTATGTCACAATGTATATCATTAAATACAGAATATTTTTCTAAAGAAAGTCGAGCAAAAGATCAGGTATCCAGATTATAAACAAAACGACCATTTTCTTTTCCTTCTTATATTAGCTACTTCATTTACACTTGATCATCTTTCGTTTCAGGTATGTGCACACATATTTATGAAAAAAAATCTCAAAAGAATATCTCTTCATATATTCCATCTTTTAATACACCATTCATACATTTAACACACGCCTTCATCTTTCAGTACAAACACAAAGACATTCATATTACAAAACTAGGCAACTATTACTGGTGTTTGAATCAGCTATTATATTTACCTACAAGGGCTACAACTTTTGAGAATTTGTTTTCATGAATAATTTGCAATTGTTGCCTCAGATTACAATTTAAAATAAGGATATAAAAAAATTTCAACCAAATTAGTTTATAAAGTAGTTACTCATAACACTAATTTGAAGCCTTAATACATGGGAAAGAAAATGGAAATTGCTTTCCACAACATAGATTTAAATTTGGATTTAGCTTATGCTACAGCAATAATGGAGAAGGGTGAAACTGCAAAAGAAACCAACGGACTTCAGTTTTCACCTCTCCTCATTTTCTCACTGGAAACTGCACTCTACCCTTTGGGGCACAGGTAAGATCAGGGTACTCGTCCTCCTCTGATCCTACTTCCGAGTGGGATAGAGTGGGTTAAGTTTGGTTTGGTACATGAAGTCTCTTTCCTCAGATATTTAATTCACTTCTCATGATTTCATGAATAAATGTTGGAAAATTAATTGTTAGAAACTTAGAACCCATAGAAATAACACAGGGAAGTATAAAGAAGTACCCCCTCCGTCCTTTAAAATTCTTCCCACTTATTCTTTTTGGGACGTCCCAAAAAAATCTTCTCATTTCCTTTTTCGGAAAGTTTTGTGTGGCTAACATTCATTTACCTTTTTCTTACTCAACCACAACCATACATTTCCACTTTATTCTCACTTTCTTAAACTCCGATCCAAGTCAAACCGAGAAGAATTTTAAGGGACGGAGGGAGTATTTAAATTCAAGTATGGAAGAAGAAATGTAGTCCAAAAAAATAATTAATGTTCTCCGGATTTTTATTGGCTATGATTCAGATTGGAAGAGCTGTGTAGTATTTACACATTCTCAGTGCCAATGCAAAGGAAGCCTTAACATATAAATACCTGACTGATAAAGTTTAACAATGATCTATTTCAATTCAATGCAGACGTAGGTAATGTTGTTTGGTATCTGTTACAGGCCCGGGTTTGAGATCGCGCCACATTGCAGTGTGAAGAAGAAAGATGAATAACTTCAGGGGAGGAAGGACAGTGCATATAGTTTTAAGAATAAGAAAAACAATGGCAGTAGGAGATGTGGTTTAGTTCTTCAAACTCCCTGACTAAACAATTGGGCAATGATCCGATAAGTTTTAATTCAAATCATCCTTCTCTTAGATAGAGATAGGAAATTACAAGTTTACAACCACTCCCAAAACTAGGAAAGTGCACCCATGATTAAGATAAGAAGTTACAACCACTCCTAGAGACTAGGAAAGTGGATCCATGATCATAAACTGCTAATATGTACAGGAAGCACCTTTTTTAGATAACCCAACAACTAACCCAAGATTAAAAACTAACACACACAAATTAAAAAGAAAATTATTATTTTAATTCAAGCTGCAACATGCTTCAAGGGTCTCTCTTCTGTTTGGGTTGTTGGTAGGTGTTAAGTGCGTGAGTTAGAGACCTCGTCCAAGGACGTGAACGGGATTGACCACAGGTAAAGGATGATGTTCCGGGAGCTATTTTTAATTGACGAGGAATAGATGAACTGAAAATAGAGGCTTAATAGATAATTATAGATCTCCGACCTAGTCAAGAGATCTCAAGATTAATTAACCAAAAAGCTGTTTATTAAAGTAGCTGGGATTCCCTTAAATAGATAAAGGGTTTCCTAAAACAAATAGGAAACTAAGTTGCTATTCTAATACAACTTAAATAAAGGAATACTAATTAAAGTAGGACTAATTAAATACTAATACTAATATGACTCTAACTGCCTTCTTATTTCTTCTCTTAGCCACGTTGGTCATTAATCTTCTCTGCCCCACACTGCTTTCTGCATTCATATGTACGACCATAGTATTGGTCCATAACATCACTCCCCCCTTGGACAAAGAGCTTGTCCTCAAGCTTGAAAGCGGGATATCTCTTTTGGAAGGAATCTAGTGGTTCCCATGTGGCCTCATCTACTTGCTGCTCCTGCCACTGAACTAAAAGCTCCCAGCTGCCATTCAAGAAGCGGCTGCGAAGAATTGCCTGGAGAGTTGTGGTTCCCAGAGTGTAAGGTTCGGGAGGAAGACTGCCCATTGCTTCTGGAGGAGGTCCTTGGTGTAGCTTGAGAAGGGAGACATGGAAAACATTATGAATACGAGCAGTTACTGGCCATTGGAGCTTGTAAGCAGTTTGGCCAATGCGCTCAAGAACCTGAAATAGACCAAAATATTTTTGCAACAGTTTGGAATTTCCCCTGGCCACTGTTAGCTGGCGATATGGTTGCAAACGGAGCCAGACCCAAGCACCCGGTTCAAACAAGAGCTCACGGTGGCCTTTGTCAAACTGACTTTTCATCCGCTGTTGTGCATGAGCTAATCTGTCACGAGCACGTTTGAGAAGATCGTCACGATCAATGAGCTCCCGATCCACCCCATCCACCTTGGCTGTCACAAGCATATAGGAGAGCATACGGGGTGGTTCCCTGCCATAAACCATGTGAAATGGTGTGTCACCCAGAGATGAATGGTAGGACGTATTGTAACAATACTCAATCCAAGGAAGCCAGTGAACCCATTCCTTGGGATAATCGCTCGTGATACAACGTAAAAACAACCAGACGGTTCGGTTAACGACTTCCGTTTGACCATCGGTTTGCGGGTGGTAAGCGGAGGAGTAAACGAGTTTGGTACCAGATAGGCGGAATAACTCGCACCAGAAAGTGCTCAAAAAGATTTTGTCACGATCAGAGACAATGGATTCTGGTAGCCCATGAAGACGAAATATTTCAGAAAAGAATATGCCGACTACAGAAACTGCCGTATATGGGTGAGCTAAAGGAATAAAATGGGAAGCTTTAGAGAGTGTCAATGACAACCAGGATGACAGATTTGTTTCGAACCTTGGGTAAGCCTTCAACAAAATCCATTGATATATCTGCCCAAATGTGATGCGGAATGGGAAGAGGTTGCAATAAGCCAGCTGGTTGCAATGTTAACCACTTATGCGTCTAACATGTCTGGCAGTCCCGAACAAAGTTGGCCACCGTAGCTTTCATGCCGGTCCAATAAAACTCTCGTCATAGTCGTTGAAGAGTTTTTTCAACACCTTCATGAGCCATGTTATGAAATACCGAGAGCAAAGTCTGAACCACTTCAAATGTATCTAACAAATAGAGTTTGAAGCGGTAATAAATTAAGCCATCTCGTATTTCCCAATCTGGCCCGCGCTTTCCCTCCTGGATTTCCTGACGGATACTATTCATAATCGGGGAAACCGCTTGTTCAGACCGGATTTCACTGAGGAGAGTATTGAAAGGAACTGCGAGTGCTGCGAGGTTCATAACCTCTTCATGTTGTCGAGACAAAGCATCCGCGACAGTGTTGAAGCGTCCCGGTTTGTATTCTACTCGGAAGTTAAAGCCCATCAATTTACTTAGCCAATGTTGTTGTGGGGACGTAGTTAGTCGTTGATCCAGTAAATGTTTCAAGCTAGAATGATCGGTTCGAATAAGAAATTCAGATCCCCATAAATAGGGTCGCCAATGTGTGACTGCTTTGGCTAACCCTATCGGTTCCCGATCATAAGCTGCGAGCTTAACATGACGGGTAGCAATCTTGCGACTAAAATATGCGATGGGATGACCTTCCTGTTGTAATACTACCCCAAAACCAGATCCTGATGCATCACATTCAACAACAAATTCTTTGTCGAAATTAGGTAATTGGAGAACTGGGGCCGATGAAAGGCACAGTTTGAGCTCGTGGAACGCTTCTTCGGCTGCATCTGTCCAGGAAAAGGCACTCTTCTTCAGCAATTGTGTCAGTGGACCAGCAATCTCACCATAATGGTGAATAAATTTGCGGTAATAACCTGCCAGGCCCAAAAAACCGTGTAAAGCTGTAACTGATCGGGGTGTTGGCCACTCCGTGATGGCCTGGATTTTGCTGGATCAGCCTCAACGCCTTGGCTATGAATAATATGGTCGAGACATTGTACCTGCGGTGCGCCAAAACTGCATTTGGATTTTTTTAAAGCAAGGCCATGGGTGCGCAAGGTTTCCAGGACAAGGTGGACATGATAAACATGTTCTACCCAAGATTTGCTATAAATGAG